CTCGCCGCCGCCGCCGGGGTGGCAGCCTGGAGCACCCAGGGGCTGCCCAGTGACCGCATGTCCACCGAGAACGCCACCATCCTGTGCAACACTGAGCGCTGGCGACTCATCGTGGACGCCCAGCTCCAGGGCATCAAGTGGATCAAGAACAAATACGGGCAGGAGCTGAAGGCCATCCGGCTGGGCCAGCGCAAGTGGGTGCTGTCCCTGCTGTCCCTGCCTGCTGCGGGTGCCCACGGCACATCCCCGTGCCCACGCGTGACCCCGTCCCCATCGCAGCTACCTGGACACCATCGAGCAGGCGGTGTCGCAAGGGCACACGCTGCTCATCGAGAACATCGGCGAGACTGTGGAGCCGGTGCTGGACCACCTGCTGGGCAGGAACACCATCAAGAAGGGCCGGTGAGCGGGGCCAGCCGGCACGAGGAGCAGATGCTGCTTGGACGCCTTGTCCCTCGTCCCCCTGCCCCGCGTCCCCTCCCCATGTGTCCCCATCTGGATGAGGTGCCACTTAGCGCAGCCCGTGTCTCGCAGGTACATCAAGATAGGGGACAAGGAGGTGGAGTATCACCCGCACTTCCGCCTCATCCTGCACACCAAGTACTTCAACCCGCACTACAAGCCGGAGATGCAGGCGCAGTGCACGCTCATCAACTTTCTGGTGCCCCGCGACGGGCTGGAGGACCAGCTGCTGGCCGCCGTGGTGGCCAAGGAGCGCCCGGACCTCGAGAGCCTCAAGGTACCGCCGTGATGGGGGGTGACCTGACCGGTGCCTCCGGCCGGGCTCCCAACAGTCCCGCACCAGCGCTGGGGAACGTCACCGCTGGCCTTGCAGCTAGTGCTTGACAAGGAAGGATTCGCGTGGAGAGCCAAGGAGCCGGAGCCAGCGGGACGGCTCTGCTGCTGCCGCTCCGCAGGGAGCGCCCCGCGGCCCCGTGTGACTCGCGGCTCTCACGTGTTGCAGGCAAATCTCACCAAAAGCCAGAACGAGTTCAAGATCAACCTGAAGGAGCTGGAGGACTCGCTGCTCGCCCGGCTCTCCGCGGCCTCGGGGGATTTCCTGGGGGACACGGCGCTGGTGGAGAACCTGGAAACCACGAAGCGCACGGCCATGGAGATCGAGGAGAAGGTGGGAGCCGCGCGGTGCCGCGGGGCCGGCGGCAGCGGGAGCGCAAAGCGGCCATGCTGCCACGTCCCCGTCCATGTTCCTCCAGGTGAAGGAAGCCAAAGTCACCGAAATGCAGATAAACGTCGCCAGGGAACATTACCGGCCGGCGGCGGAAAGAGCCTCGCTGCTCTACTTCATCCTGAGCGACCTCAACAAGATCAACCCCATCTACCAGTTCTCCCTGAAGGTAGCGCCGAAGCCGGGGCACGGGGGGCGCGGGGCCGGGGTCCCGGCCGCGCTGAGCCCGCGCCGCGCAGGCCTTCAACGTGGTCTTCGAGAAGGCCATCCAGCGCACCAGCCCGGCCGACGAGGTCAAGCAGCGCGTGCTCAACCTCACGGACGAGATCACCTACTCGGTGTACATGTACACGGCCCGGGGGCTCTTCGAGAAGGACAAGCTCATCTTCCTGGCGCAGGTGGCCTTCCAGGTACCGCGTGGGGCGG